GGCGCGAGCCGCAGCGCCGGAGAGGGAGGCAGGTTCTGCTGCTTGCCGCGGAGGAGGAACACGTAGCACACTGCAGCTGAAACAAGGAAAGAGACAAAGAGGAGAGCCTCCATTTTCCTTGGATTTTCTTACTTTGGTTTAACAAATGACTCAACTCAGACACTTCTATTTAACACATTTTACATCCATACATAAATTCCAGATGTCAGATTTGTTATATTTTTATAACTCTCAGTAATGGCTTAGCGTGGCCTAGTACCGATTATTGCTTATCAGGTACACATGTTTCTATATCAGTAACTTCTATCGATAAAAAAAAGAGAAATTTTATGATACACAATTATTATAAGGGACCAAATTAGGTTTTTAGCCTAACTAAATTTACTTTTATTATTAGTAGTATAATTTTCTTTTATATCTCTTAGTTGTTGACAAAATAAGAAAAGAATTGTTAGAATATATTTTTAGTCTCTCAAATTTAAAATTGATCTTTTTAGTCTCTATAATTTTAAAAAATTTTATTTTAATACTTATATCCAAATTTTATTAGAGAATTTGTTAAATATTGTTGTATAAAATTTATCTTATCAGTAGAAACATCACATTAAATTCTATTGATGATACATAATTGTCTTAATTTACTATTTTCAATATTATTAGTGATGTAAGAGACTAAAATAATATTTTTAAAAATTATAGAGATTAAAAATAACAGTTTAAAATTTGAGAAATTAAAAATAAATTTATCTTAAGTTTGAAGAAAAATACATATTGAAGGTTATATTTTTTCATCCATTATCATTACTTTTCTATTGTTGCCCTGATCATCTTTTGTTTTGCAAAATAAGTTTAATAAATTCTAATTTGCTCAATGGAGCAGATAAGAGAATATAGCTCTAGTGATCCCACGAACAAGGAGATGATGTTTTTGTTTTGAACCCCACTAATGATTGACTCCCATTGGCTGTTAGCATATAACATAAGGTCGTGTCTTCTTGGAAGGTATCCTTATTGTCATGTTTTATTGTGTGTTAAAACAGTAAGGAAAATAGACAAACTAATTGCCTTGTGCCTTATGGAGGGTCATTTTCTGTCCGTTTACGATTATCACTATGTTACATTAATCCTATGTGTTGATACATTTCAGTGGTTTTCTTATGGATCGGACTGATCTTAATCTTTGTTTTGTCATGCAAAAATCAATTGTTAGAGCTAAATTAAAAATTAAGTAGGTGATGAATTTTAGTAGGCAACTTTTGGAGAAGATGGGGTTTGGTGGGTTCAATTTGAATACCTAAGCATCTGTGATATGTGGTTCTCATTCATCGAACTTGTCATTCAATTTTTTAAAATAATAATTCCAGGGTTTAGCAGTTAAATCCAAAATCTCTAATATAATATAATTACTAACTGTTATTCATATATATTTGTCTACTAATATAGTGGATTAAGAGCCACAAGTAATTACAAGGTCCTGTCACATTGCCTCATCTCTTCCTCTTTTTCTAGCACTTTCAAAATTGTCTTAATTTGTAAGCCTAACTGCTTTATTTCTTTATTATGGATGGCTTAAAGGTTGAATACTTTAAACTAGGTTGTTACTTCTCCTGCTTTGATTTGGAATTGGAATGATAAAAAAATAAACAACCTCTTAACCTCTAGTAGAGCCATAACCAATGTACATTCATGGATTCGAGGGAGTTATTTCAAGCCACAAGAAAAATATAAATTAAGGGATTTCAGATAATTATTTTTTAAAAATGCTAACAATATTCTTTTGACATTTTTTTATACATTAATTATTAATTAAATTTTATAAGAAATAAATTATGGTGGATATATAAATATATATATATATATATATATGAATTTTAGATAATTATTTTCAAAAGAACTTCACAATACTCTTTAATATTTTTAAAGGTGAATTAAAATTTATTAGAAAACATAAATTTGTAATGAATCTCTATTTTAAGCCACAAAATTACACCGATTGACTTGATCCCTATTAAAGTAAGTTGGCCTCAATTCGACTCATGATTTGTATTTGACACAAAATTTACATATTAATGATCATGATAAAATATCAAAATACTCGATAATAAGCAATTATTAATCTTGAGATTCTCTAGACCTTTAAGAGCACAACTAAGTAGATACAAAATCCGAATCTTAAGATAAAGATAGATGGAATATATATTTTTTTAAATGTAACTTTAGATGAATGATTAAATTAATCTAGTAGGTCATTCGAACCAAAATACTATATTATAAATATAAATATTTACTTATAAAAAAAAAAAAAATGAATCTTTATATAATATTCAGTAAATAAGATTGTGTAAACTTACTTTGTATTTTCACCTCTAATTCTAAGCCATGTTATTATCTATGAAAAAGAATTGAATTACTCCAGAAGTAATTTTAGAAGTATTATTTTGTATCTTCACTCTGTTTCTTTTGATGTTAGATTAAAAAAAAATGAAAGTCGAAGATAAAGAGTTGCAGTAACTTTTTTAGTGGAAGATTTTCATCCCTCTTAATTATTTATTGCTTCAATTCACACAACTATTGTTATTATTATTGTTGTTAGACAGAAACTTAAACAAAGTATTTCCTGAATTAGTGCCACCAAACTTATCTCCAGTTTGTTAACATCTACATGATCCAACCAAGACTTTTGATGTCAAAAGAGTTAAACAAGTAGGCTAAAATTTATAGGCAAATTATTTTCTTGCCAATAAAAAAATATTTTAAACTAATAATTATATTTAAGGCTTAAATATATTTTTAATTTCTCATATTTAAGACAAATTTATTTTTGTGTCTCAAATTTAAAATTGTTATTTTTAATCTCTATAATTTTTAAAAATTTTGTTTTAGTATCTCATATCACCAATAACATATCCAAAAGTAACAAATTAAGATAATTATGCAATTTCAATTGAATTTAATGTGATATTTTTCTTAATAGAAACATCAATAAGTAAGTTTTATACAATAATATTAAATAAATTTCTTAACAAAATTTGAATATAAGGACTAAAATATTTTTTTTAAATTACAAGGATTAAAAATAATAATTTTAAATTTGAGGGACAAAAATAAATTTTTCCTAAATTTAAAGGACTAAAAACATATTTAAGCCTATTTTTAAATACAAGTGTGAATCTCTTTTTTATATACATTATAAAAAATAATTTTCTCTATTATTACAACTTAAAGTTTAAAATAAAAATAAAAAACTAACTTAACACACGTATACACGTACACACACATATCTACACACATACACACAAATATTCCCTATATTTGAAGTATTCTAAATAATCAATCCAAAAGAAAAAAAAAAAGCAAAGATACTTTAAATGTTCTAAATAATCAACCATGAAAGCATTCTATTTTTAATTTCTTGATTTCATATGAACAAAAAATGTAAAACATTTAAGTGTAATTGAAATATAAAAAATATTGATAATTTAATTTTTTACATTTTAAACTTATTTATTTGATCATATTATTAATAATGAAATACACATATTATTTTTTATTATATATTATAAATAAATAAACTAGCCCAACAAGCAATTTTATATGCTTAAATCCAACCTTTTAAATAAATAAATTTTTAATAAACTTAAATATAATATTTTTCTTAAGTAAGTCGGATTAAACCAAACTTTAAAGATATCAAGACAAATTTCTATTAAACTTTAAATATTTATCTTTTTATGATGCTCTAATAGTTACCCGAGATTAATATAAAATTAACAGTAGGACATCTCTGAAGACGGTTACAATTGTAATTATTACAGCAATCCAAGTAAGACTTCAATTTTCCGCCCTAGATTTAATACTCATCATTTTACTGTAAATCTAACAACTAGTTTACGACCACATTCTTTGCTCATCATTCTTTATATTAATACGATTTTCTTAGGTTACCATTGATCATAACCCCATAGGTTTTCTTTATGACAGAAGAAAATGCAAAGAACACAAGTCCCATCCACCAGAAAAGAAGACATGCAGAACAAGGCAAATCATCCACAGAAACTAACAGAAGAAAATTGAAAAACATAAATTTTGATCAAGAAGGAAAGTACAGAAAAAATTGTGGTTGACTCTTTTGCTATTAATATTTCTTCTTCAGACTCTGTATTTCAACAAAGGCCATCAAAGAACAAAAAACCTATTCATGATACCTAGTGGATAATATAATTTTCAAAGCTTGATCTTGAAATTAACTACAACATTCAGATAATTGAGTAAATTTTTTGAATTGAACCGAAATTCAAATTAACATTGGGAATTCAAATTTCACTCACAGATCTTATGGTTATACCCCATCCATCCATATTTAACCAACACACTGAACATGGTAGTTTGCTCTGTTCAATATTCAATTATCCTAAACTTGACATTACATTCCCAGAACCACTTGAGAAAATATTTTCCCAGTTCACTAAAATCCTAGTAACACATCGGAGGCAGCTAGTCATCATTCAAAGATCTAACCATAGTAGTCAATAGCGGGCGGAGCGGCCGCAATCACGGCGCGTCGGAGCAGAGCGGCCCAACCCCGCCATTTGGATGCTGTCGCGTCGCAGATGAGTGTCGCGGCCGGAGCGGCCGTGGCGGCGGCGGAGCGTTGCGGCCAGAAATGCGAGAATCACGACGCTTTTTCTGACCTACCCTTCATTAAGGGTAAGTTTGTATTTTCGTTGGGCTTTATTTGCCCTCCGTCCCTCTCGCGGAAGTCTCCCTTTTCTCACTCGTGCACTCCCTCTCCTCTCTCTTTACTCTCGCACTCCCTGGACGTTCGTTTCTTCTCTGTCGAGGCAGTTGTCCAGCTCCGACGCACTGTTCCGATGGTCCTCCAGTTCCGACGCTGCCGTCCAGCTCCAACGCGCCTCCAGCTCCGACGCCGACGCTCCAGCAGCTCAAACTCCCTTTTCTCACTCGTGCACTCCCTCTCCTCTCTCTTTACTCTCGCACTCCCTGGACGTTCGTTTCTTATCTGTCGAGGCAGTCGTCCAGCTCCGACGCACTGTTCCGACGGTCCTCCAGTTCCGACGCCGCGTCCAGCTCCGACGCGCCTCCAGCTCCGACGCCGACGCTCCAGCAGCTCAAACGTGCCCTCTTCGTGCCCCGTCTGTCTTCTTTCTCTTTTATATTCCTATTTTATATTTCAAGTTTTCAACAGATTTTTTTTTATTTCTCATTAAATTTAATTAAGCAGAATTTTTTTTAATTTCTAAATAAATTTAATTTAGCAGATTTTATTTTTAATTTCTGATTAAATTTAATTCAGCAATTTTTTTTAATTTTTAATTAAATTTATTTCAGCAGATTTTATTTTTAATTTCTGATTAAATTTAATTCAACAATTTTTTTTAAATTTCTAATTAAATTTAAATCAGCAGATTTTTTTTAATTTTTAATTAAATTTATTTCAGCAGACATGAAGTTAGAGTTTGTTTTTAGCTTTTATATATATATTATTAATTATTTAATATATATAAATTAATATTAAAATAGCGGTTATCCCGCTCCGCGTCATCCCGCTATCCCGTTTTTAGGGTCGACCGCTCCGCTCCACTATCCGGGATTGACTACTATGGATCTAACACAGCCCTAAATGGGAATTGGACCTAGAATCTCCATTTTTGAGTATCTTGTTCCATAACTAGGGTCTCCCCTAATGCATAACTCATCATCTTAAGATCAAACATAAATATATCCATAACAGATGAACAGGTGGTGACCTTTGTTAAAAGTTTAAAACAAAAAATTCTGGCGTTAGGATTGTTCGTAACTCTAAAAAATCAGTTGATTAGAGTGAACTAAGCAAACAGTCGGTGCTGATGAATGTCATCACGAGATACCCCCCTCTTTCTTCAAACACACAATGCTACATAGTTAAAACTGAATTGTAAACTTCAGCAAGGAAAATTGTACACTGTTATAAAATCTATTTTCCCCAAGATTATGGCGAGTGCATAAAACGAGAAACTCAAAGTAGGATAAGTATTACAAAAAAGGAAATAACTCAAATCAGAAATTACTTAGAGAGACTATCTAGAACATCTCTCTTCTGTTATTACAAATCCATAAAATCGAAACAGGCAAAGTAATCTTGACAAACCTAACACAGTGCAAAGCCAGCAGAAATGTCACGACTCAGAAATCACCTGGACCTGGAATAAATGAACAATACAATGTCCAATTATCAGAATCCATAAATTTAATTGCATGCCTAAGAACATGTGATAATCAAATAAAGCTTACAAACAATCAAGCATATAGTGATAAAAACAAAATGCAATGTAAAATCAAAAGACAATAACGAGTTATTGCTCATCATCCTCAATTCAAGCCAAAAGGCCCAAAACATTATCATTCTCTAACTTTTAAATGAATTTCAAAGGTGATGGGAAAAAGTGCCGAGTATTAACAATTTGCTTCCATCAGCATAAATTATTTTCCCTTCCAGAATATCAGACTTCAATGAAAATCAAGCACATGAATTACCACAACTTATCTACACAAAAAACGATAACTAAAAACGAAGTCATTCGCCGCTTTGAATCGCTACCACGCTCAATAACATAAAGTATAACTTCTACGTGCAACGAAATACCAAAGAGGACTCGTCATTTTCCAATACATGAAAGTTCAGAAACTACACAACACGAATCTACAAACTCCACTGCCTAATTTTTCAACAATCAGAAACAACAGAACCAGACTCATAACAAACATCAAAACATAAACGAAAAATACACGCAGATAGGGTTACCTTTTGTGCGCCTGAACGAATTTCGAATTCTTAGCATCTTCCTCTGCCAAATAAAAACGAGAGATAGTCAATTACGATTAGGTCAAAAAAGGAAAACACAATTCATCGGTGAGAGAGAGAGAGGGCGCGGTGGTTTACCGGTAAGGCCGAGAGAAAACTTGGTGATTATGGTTCCGGTGATGGCGAATCCAACGAGGAATGGCCATGTCCGTTTCCATTCGCGCTTGAAGAAAACTGGCCATGGATCGAACTTTCGCATTTTTCTTCTTCTCTTTTTCTTAACACGATACGATACTATGCCTCACTCGCGTTTGTTTCTGCTGCTCCTTCTTGTAGTCGCAGCTTCCAAATCGCAGATCTAATGGGGTTTCCAGGTTTCACCGTTATCACGCCACGTGGGCCCAATCCAAATTTAATTGGGCTCCTAAAAGTGGCCCTGACCACCAAGCCTAATTCGTTCGACTGCTCTGGGCTTTGAAGCCCAAATAGAACGGCAAATCTGCATTACTTAAGGGTGGTCTTTCTTTAACAAACGCGTACTGCTTAGCTGAAAAAGTCATAGTGGTTAGAAATTTGTTTTATCCATTACTAGTGGAGTTGAACACCTCTATTTATTTTCTGAAAAAAAAATTGAGAGCAATAAGAAGATGATGGCCACTATGATGAAGAAAAAGAGATGGAAAGAGAGAGAGAAATAATAATTTTATGAATAATAAGAAAATTTTATTTACAATAAAAATGTATGTGCGATGTTTAAAGAGGTTAAAAGACAAACACATAAAAACAAAAGTTTAGATAAAAATAAATGAGTTTGTTTTTCATAGGAGTTTTGAAAGATAAAATAGTTATATTAAAAATGAAGATAAAAAACAGTTAGGAGAAAAAGTATCACTTTATCTGTTGTTATAAATTATCATTGATAGTCGTTAGTAATTTATCTTAATTTTAAGAAGAAAAGGGATATTAGCTTCTTACCATGTGGTAGTGCTACTAAGAGAGTATTAGTCCTTACAATTTCAATAAAATTTTATTTGCTCTTGTTCTCTTATTTTATTTTGTTGCCTTTTACCTTACAAGCCAAGTGAATTAAATTAAAAAGTGGGTTCATTTTTTAAGATATTTTTTTTTATTAAAATTAACTGTTTATAATCTCTCTCTCTCTTTTCACATCTCCTTATTTTGGTGATGTGAGAAAAAAATAAATCAATATTTACAGCCCGGGAATATAAATGATGTAATTCAAGATGGCATGCAATGAAAAAATTAATTAGAATTTGTAAGTTTCACAAACTTCATCTCCTCTTTTTAGCAACAAAATATAATTTAGTTCGAATAAAATCTTTCACACTTGCTAAAAAGTAATGGTTAAAATGCAATGGTTTTGCTTTTATTAGTGGGGATCGAACTTAGTAACAAAATAAAGTTTGGTTCAATTTCAACGTAAGTGTTGTTTTTTTAAAATTAAAATCAATTTAACTTTAACCTTTGTAAATTTCATTTTTCAAATATTAATACAAAATTTTAAACCTAAACTGGACAAACTATATTTACAACATGTTTACTTTCATATTTAGATGTTCCAAAATGAATTTTCACGACAATTAGCGATAATAGCAAGTAGCAATAGTAAAAATAACAATAGGGAATGTTGTTGTGTGTAAATATATAACACAAAACTTCACATATGTTGTTGATATATAACTTTTTTGTACATCGATGATCATTAACTTTTATTTCAACCTAAACTTTAAAAGTCATATAACAAAGAAAAACATCGGATAAAGAGTAAATTTCAAACTAATTCAACACCAATAAAAAACATTGAAATAATTAGGCATATTTTAGAGAAATAATAAGACGTATTCCTTCTCAAGATATGAAGATGCAAAAGCAATATGCATAATAGCAGGGTTTGTGTAAAACTGCCCGTAAGTTACAATAATATTGGGAACTATGTTCCTTTATCCTGTCACATACAATAATATCTAATTATATACCATACATACTTCGAGTTTCGGATCAAAGACAGCAACGTATGTGTGTGTGAATGTCTTATAACTCTGGGTTCAAGACCGCAACTGCAAGTTTGATTATTGTGATACACTACTAGAATCATGTTTTGAACCATGGATGTGTGTCTGCGAGTAACTTGCAATTAAGTCACTTTTAATTTCTTTCTATGCCCTAATTTTGCGTCCACTAGCTATAGAACGCGATATTAGACAGAAACACGTCCAAAACGATGTGATGCCACAAAAATACTGTTGAAAGGTAGTTCATTGGGTGTTGACTTCAATGGTCACAAAATATCATGGACCATAGACATGAGTTATGTAGATTAAACTCATTAATTTTATAAATATTTTGTAATTGTCTCCCACTAGCTTTTTTTTTTTTTTTTTTTCCTGTTTTTACAGAACCACAATTCTGTGAGTGCCGTTGCTTAGTAATATGAAAGGGCAGAATGAATATATGGGAACCTAAGTATACTCATCAGGTCAATTAATAGATACCAGCGTCAAATAAAACAAAACATACGAACAAATTAATGGCATTGTTAATGGATAAAAAAACAAACAAGTTCATTTTAATTTGGGTCTTCGGTGGTGCCGTTTGTGGACTGCTCGAAATGGAAGATAAGTCTGGCTAATGAAACCATAATGGCTTAGGCTTTCTTTTTTTGTTGAAGTCAGTGTATATATATGTAGCTCGCAGCCTCAGGAACGTGTAAGTGAATTATTTATATAAAAAAATATCTTTAACCCATATACCTTTTTATCAAAGGTAATTAAAGTTGTAAGTGAATAATTAATCTATCTATATATTGGGTTTGCAATTGCATGTGTCATGGCACACGATGAACACGCCAAGTGTCGTGGGAAGAGGGTCGTCATTGATTGGTTCGTGGCAATGTTTGTGTTGTGACTTGCGAGTTGCGAGTGAGCGAGTGAGTGAGACTTATTTGCTGACTCGCACTTTCCACAACGTGTCTCTACCTTGGCCTCCCCACATGACTTTCACCTAATCGCCATGTGCGCTTCCACAAACAAACAACCTCATTGGTTTGTCGCCACACTCGACGCTGTCACAAAAGACAACCATTGTACTATGCCAAATACGAAAAACGGATCAATCAGACACTATTGCGTGCCTAACGTAAAAAATTCAATCATCTTATTCAAAATCTTAATGTAAAATGTTAAGTCATAGGAAAGGAAACGAATTAACAAATAAAAATGTACATGATTGAAGTGACAGGTTAAGTCGTTACCCGTTAGGACACCCTCGTACCAATAACTTGCACAAGTTTATGGTTCATGGCTTTTTATGCTCTTTCATAAGCATCACAAACGTCGATATAATAATCTGCTCCAACATTCTCCTTAATTTTAAGAAGGGAGCGAATACGAAGGATAAATTACTCTTTTCATCTTGTTTAATTTTTAAAAACAATATAATAATATTATTATTTTTTGTTTAATTTAATCTAACAAAGTGACAATTTTTTATTTTGTTACTTGTACAAAAAGTAACCTAATTTTGACAGAAATGAAAATATTTTATTGCTTTTAAAGGCTAAGGAACCAGATTAAACTTTTTATTAATAAAAGAGACAAATTCAACCAATTAAATAAATAAACAGATCAAAAGAGTAATTTAGTTAAAATGAAAAAATATTATGTTAAAAATAATATTTATTATATAAAGAATATATGAATCTTTTAATTTTTTTTCAAGAAAGGAATCTTTTAAGCTTAGGCTCCTAGCTAGCTCCTTATTTCAGAAAAAACAAAAGAAAGGAATGTTTTATTGTGTGTCTATAATTTCGCAAACATTAAATATATCTTTTTAGATGTTTTAAGTCATATTAAAACATAACCATTGAATTATTTTGGTATATTGAATATTATTCTTTGATTTGCTTTTTTTTTTTTAACCTTTTTGTTATGTGTTTATGAGTATACAACAAATTCTTCTTAATAATTTAAATTATTTAATTAAGTTTAGTTAATGTTTTTGTTGTAGAGTTCACTTCAGCCTCCAAATTGTTGCCCTCATAAAGCCTATTATGGTACCATGAAAATAAGAGGAAAATAAGAAGAAAAAAAAGGAAAAAGAGAGAGAAGAGATTGTGTTTTTTCTTATTTGGTTAGTATAGAAAAAAGAGAGGAAATAAATTTTTTATGGTCTCCCCCAAATTTTGTGTTTTTTTTTCCACTTTGAAAAGAGATTGAGAGTAAAATTGAATGAAAAATAAATAAAATTTTCATTAAATTAATTTTTATATATTATTTTTATTTTAAGTGGTAAAATATTATTTTAATTTATCTTATATTTTGATTAGTATTGTTTTGTATTATTGAAAGTATATTTCATGATTTTATTTTATCTTATTACATTTCATATTTATTTTTCGCTTAAGGACAATGTCATTTGATAATTATGTTTCTTTCTTTTCTTTCATTTTTTATTCAATAAAAAAATAATATGTATTTTTTTCCTTCCACTTTTTTTTTTCTCCTAATCAACTAAAAATTCACTTTATTTTCTAATTTTTTTCTTTTCTCTCCTTTTATTTTTCTTCCTCAACTAAATAAAGTAAAAACGACACTATGTCAACACTTTGTCTTTAGTTTGGATCATAACTGGATTATACTGAAATAAAGTCTAAACTCTATAAGTCCAAAATATTTTATCTAAATGTTTGATATGTGACATTCTAGATTATACACTAACAAATTTTTTTCACTAAAAAGCCTTAATATAAGATATTTCTTACTCACATATATAGCAAAGTCAACAATTAATAACAAAGTGTATGAATAAATGCATTTAGTTTTTAATTCACTCGTACACACTTTATTATTAAATGTTGATTTTGTACTAAATTCACTTTTAAAAAAATATTCTTGTACTTTTAGATATTTTTATTACGGTTTTACAATTCATGAGTTTAAGGATGATTATTACAAAATTGAAAAATAAATTTATTTGCTAAAAATTTATTACAAAATACGTTGATAGTATTGAATATTATATATATTTTTTTGATAAAAGCTTTGAACATGGCAGAACATTGGTATCTATTATAATTTTGTTGTTGTCGTTATATTAAAAAAAAAAAAAAAACCTTTGAACAATTCTAACTAAATCTTTAGTTACATCAACCATGTGACTTATATATCACCGTTACTTCTAATAAATTGAATCTACATGAGGACAATAGAATTGTCGGTTATAACAGCGTAAGAATTTTATATGTTTAGTAGAGTTGCAAAAGGGTCAACCTTAAGAGGTGCATAATTAGACAAAAGCAAACATTGCTTGCACGTATAATCACTCACAAAATGCATGTTTTGAGGTGCAAGATACATCGTATTAAGGTGTTATGACTTCAATTTTTTTTATTAAAAAACGGTTTTGTCGTACGCAGGCTTTATTTTAACGAAAATGCTCATTTTAAAATACGAATGATTGTTGTAGTACTGCAGCGAAGAAGTACTGAAAAGTTTTAATTCGTACCTTGTGTGCGCTAACTACATTAACTAAGGTAACATTAGGGTCAGAATAATTTGGATAATTTGATTGAGATGCAAGGTAAGCCACAATCTAATGTTAGTAAACATAAAATTTTATTATTGTATCCGAGACGAATGAAGCAAGCTTTGCTTATTTCTGTTATCAGAAACAAAATAAAATTTAATTAAAAGGTGGGTAATAATAATAGTGGTAATAAATGAGACGATAATTATTAAATTGTAATTTTAATTTTTAATTATTTTTATTTAAATTTAAATATTATTATTAATAATTTTCATTTTTTTCATTTTAAGTGCAATAAAAGAGAAGATTCTCATTTGATACTTACCCTATGTATAAATATAAATAATTATGAAAGTATTAATTTATTTATTTATAACTTAATTCATCATTTATTCCCTTTTTTTTAATTAAATCTCTAAACTAAAAAAATTGTAATTGAGCCTTTCATCTTTTTTACGCTTTTTGTATTTAAGTCCCTAGGATTAGAAATTCAATTAAAATATGAAATTTCACAAAATATTTTTTTTTACATCCTCAAACCTAAGTAATCACATTAGATTATCATTTCATGTTATTATCAATATTTATCAAGTTTTAATTTCTACTGGTTAATTTTTGTTTTTGTTTTGTGATTATCCTACTCATAAGAATTTTAAAATAGTGGAGGCTTTTATAGGTAAAGATTAAAACATGATATATAAAGATAATGACATGAAATAAAAATTTAATGTGATTGTTCAAATATAATAATATAAAAATATTTTGTGAAAGGTCATAAATTATAAACAAATATCTAATTTTAGGAACTAAATTACAAAATTATAAATAGATGAAAGATTTGATTATAATTTTTTTTAGTTTAGATATTTATTAAAAAAATTTCATGGATGAAATAACGTATTAAACATTTATTTATTGAGTAAAAAAAATATATTCATCTATCATCACCCTTATATAATAAATGGCGAGAGGGATCAAACAAGGAAAGTTTTAACTGAATTAAATAATTGACCACAAAGACATAAATGTTAGAAGAGACAGAGTTCCTGAAAGAATGGGAGGATTTCAGGGATTCCCGAATCATATATCATACTCAAAAATGGGAACTACAATTTATTCTTCAAGGAAGATTTTGGCATTCATGACAGGGACTTAGTCCTCTGGATTTTTTGTGATCAAGCCTTGACTTTCCATAACTCTTGCTTCCTATTCCTTAGTCTCGTCCCTTTTACCCTATAGTCTTATAAAATGTAAACATGGTTTCTCTATAAATATAAGAGGGGATACGTACACATTTGTTTAATTTCCAATACCAATATTTGGCTTTCAAATTTTCTCTTCCCAAATAGAAGGTGCTAAGTATGGAAAACCTGGATTCGGTGTTCATTTACCATGAGGTGGGTTGTTTCATATATATGCTTTGTTCTTCTCTGTACTTTCATTCTCCTGCATCCTTGACTAGAATTTCTGTCTTGCAGAGACCCTTTTCCATTAAATGACATTTGCATTTATACCTTCTTTCATTGGGTATTACTCACTTTCATGATTGATATTCTTTATGCGATCAAGTTTGTTCCTTCAAGACTCTGTCTTCGTAACCGATTCATTGCCTTTTTGTTTATTGAATCTTTTGAGATGAATTGTGGGTGGAAAAGGATCAAACTGGTGAGAGTGTTTGAAAGATAACACAAGAAAGTGTAGCTTGTTTTGTCTCAGTAAATGGCTACTGCTTGTGTATTCATTAAATTAAAGGAAAAAATATATTGGGATAAAATTCAAATTTTAATAATAATTAGAAGAAGAAAAAAACACCGTAACCAGTTAAAGGAAAACATGTTGGGATATAATGTTTGAGGTCTAAGGTTGTAAAATTTAAACATAGTAAAAAGATTACTTTCTTGGTTGTTTTATTCTGTATACGATTTTATTTCTTTTGCACTTGGTTTTCTGTCTTGGTTAAACCTTCTGCAAGAAGGAGAGGGTGCATTAATTTCCAGACCCGTTATCATTTTTATGCTATCTGTTACAGAATTTATTGGTTGACCCTGTTTCTACCTATTGTTCCTCCTTGACAATTATTGTTTATTAATGATATTTTATTTATTTAGGAAAACTAGTGTGATAGTTTGATCATTGATCCTTTTCCTCAAATTAATTTTTTCTAATACCCGTATTATTGCTGTTTCTATAAATACTGTGTCTTTTTATTTATTTGGACACAGGGAAATTGATCAATTAGAGCCTAATTTTCGCCTACCTATTATATCCAATATATCCAAAAATTCTTTTTTATGGGTGTTTGAGATTACGTTTATCTTACTTTGAAATAGTTTTTGGACTTGATTCATGCACCATTTGATGTACTCATAAACCTAACTCATGCCAATAATCTGTCATAATCTAAAAGGAAAGCTGGTGTCAAATCTCCCATTTAATGCGAAGTTTGAGTGTCGCTTTCTCTGTTGTTAGTTTACCACCAATTGTAAAGCTGGTTATTAAAATTCTACCGTGTAATTAACGTGCATTCAGTCAATGATAGTGGCAGCATTAGACCACAGAAGTGGTTCCTTGACTTCCTTATATGAACACCAACGTTTTCCAATTTGATTTTTCAGGGAGAACACGAGTTAAGGCAGAAGCTTATCAATGCCACCCTTCAACTTGAGAACATGAAAATTGTGAGAACAGAACTGTTCAATCTGTTAAATATGGCTTACAAAGAGAGGGATGAAGCAAGGTGTCAGCTACAGAAATTGATGAACCAACTCATGCCCTCTAGCCCAACAAATTTGCAAAACGTGTTTGATAACCAAAGCTTTATGATGTTCCCTTATGCTAAGGCAAACTCAAGCATAACAGAATCTGACAATAGTGGTTCCCAAGTGGATTCCTTCTTTGACACTGTCTCTTCTCCAGAGTTTACAAACATCAATGCAGTTGACCCTATTAACAAAATGAGTTATCTCAATCAGCACTTGGTTGTTCAGGACATCAATTTCTCAGCAACACATGCTTTGATGGCCCCTTCAGAGAAGCCCGTGTCTGATACTGCCACTGCAATCATAGATAGTATTGCCAAAGAAAGAGGTTTGCCTCAAAAAGGTAAACTCCTTCAGGCTGTGGTGGATGCTGGTCCATTGCTTAAAACTTTGCTCCTTGCAGGGCCACTTCCTACATGGAGAAACCCCCCTCCTTTACAAAACCTCAAACTTCCAGTTCCACCCTTAGCCATCAAAAAGTGTGATACCACTAGCATTGAGCCTAACACTTTTGGAGACACTGGAAATTCACTTCTAAAACCAAAGCTTTCACCCTTGCATTCATCAAATGCTCCCTCCACTTGTTCAGCTTCCATGCTCAACTTTGCTGGTCAAAGTCAAACTACTGGTTCATGGAACAATGCATGGCAGTTGAATTCATCTTCTGGTGTTGGCATCCAAGTAGCACCATCAAGGAAGCGGCAAAGGCATCAATGTTTTGATGAAATTTTTATCCCCGAGACCTTTTCTTCCACTGTGTAAATGGAGTTACATGGATCGGTGCGAATGGCACACCCTGCTTTTGATTCAAGCAGCATAGATAGCCTTTTAGGTTTTAGTTAAAATATTGGGAGCCCTCCATTTGAGACGTAGGAAGATTAAACTCATATATTAAATCTAATTTGCATCTATGTGATGTAAGCTTTTGACTGCCAATAATCATCAAATAGTATTCTATATTAAGTTTAATTAGAAAGCATAGGTTTTTTTTTTTTTACCCACATTTAGTTATAGAATTTAAGTTTGTTGACTTTCATAAGTTGTTTAAGATGATTTCTGACTGGTTGATATTGTACAAGTCTACTCAATTCATAAAAATTAAACTCATTTATAATTAATATATTTTTGCTTTAGAAATTTTAAGTTTACCTTATTGCATGTCACAAAAAATAAGTTTTTTTAACATTTGATAGTATCTAGGACAAGGGTTGTCAGTGATTACAATGAAGAATCGTTAATATCATCTACTTCTTCGGTTTGAACGTTTGGTGTCCGTATACTGCTATTGTTGACAAACTCTGTAAACTTTATCTTCATTAACATGTCTTCTGCTTCTGGGAAATCTGATGACCCTGGGAATTGGAAGCTAGAGGATGTTATATCAATTGTTGTAGTGTGCGTTATCTTTATCACACTGGGTGATTGCTTCGGCTTATTTAAGCGTCTGATGTGCGGAATTTGCAGTGGCAGAAACCAGGGTCAAAGGAGACTTCTAGATGAGTCCATTGCCGATGACCCTTCTGTGCAGCTTCAAAGCCGTGGATTGGATTTCTCTGTGGTGCAGTCTCTTCCAACGTCTCAGTTCAAGAAAAATGAGGGAGAACAAGACAAGACAGTTGGTGTTGACTGTGTTATTTGCCTTGGAGAGTTTGAGGAAGGGGAGTGGCTGAAACATCTTCCACACTGTGGCCACGGCTTCCATGTTTTATGCATTGACACATGGTTTCAGTCTCATTCAAATTGTCCCCTTTGTAGATCATTTGTCCATCATCACCTCCTAGAGTGTTCGCTTTCTCCCCACACATTGCTAGAGTCTTTAAGGGGAGAAGATTTTACCCAAGAAAGGGTGAATCAACCCGGTGGATCTGAAAACCTGCCTGTTACACGATATTAGTCAAGTCCTGCTTGATTTCCAACCCCAACTGTTGTTCTCTCAATCTCTCTTGTTTGCTGGTATTGATATTTTTTTAGATATAGCCCAGAAGACACGGGGAATGAGGAGAATCATATAAAGGTATACTGGCAATACATATCGTGATTGCTGGTAAATAGAATCTGGATGGAATGCTAACAGCTAAGGAGGGTTGAATTTGGTTTGTTCATGTGTTTGGTCGCTAAGTGATCTTTGAGGGAACACAACGAAACTATTGTTTTACCTCATGCATCTTAGTACGATGATACGATTTAGTTCCAGGGAGTCCAATCTTATGTTTGTAGATCAATGAACAACACAACTATTAAAATTCGTAAACCGGTCATTATTTAAAAGTAAACACTGATCTTGCATACGTTACACGCACAATACTTGAAGTTGCATTAAGCATTTTAACGAGAATGGTAAACACATAAAATATCAGAAGACTCTAATCTTGTTTAAAAAAATAACACGAAAAACACCTTTCATATTGCATTTCAATTTTCATATCATCTTCCCATTTAATGCTTATCTCACAAAAGGGAGGTGTTTTGAAAGTTCGTATTTGAACCACTTTTTATTAATTATAATATATATCCTTATTTTACATTTGTTTATCTCGAGATATTTTAAGACATTCAAGTTGGAATTAATCAAACAATAAGCATCAACTCAAACCAAGATCACCCAACAAAATTTCCATCCAGACCTCTATTTACACATTCTTTAATTAGAGATTTTAATTAAATAAAGAAATAAAATACTCTTTTTTTTATAATTTAGAAGTAAAATAATTATATTCGCTTTCCTTTAATTGAATCAGATTAAAGTCGAGTAAAATAGATCAGAAAGGGGGAATACCCCATACCCCCCCTTTTCTAATTGGACGGTAAAAGAAACACTAAAAAAAGAATAGATTTTTAACTCTTTCCATCAACCCAAAGACAAGACTTTCTCCCCTAAGAAATCCTCCACATAATCAGTGATCTTTTCTGTTTTGAATTCCAGATATAACTAATTCTCATGCCAAACCTGCTAATTCAATCTTTCCAAAACTCCAACTTCCATAGTAAAAGCTTAACAAATGCTAAATTCAAATTTCTTACAACATTAAGTTATTTATTATCCCTTGTTGGCTTGTTCATTCACAATTTTGCTTATCATGTATCCTTTGTAGGTTGGCTCTACCGATATTTAAAGGCCGCAAAGTGTCCCTTAAATATACTGGACTGTGTACTTGACAATTTGATTAACACCACAGTAGTTTAGGCGATATCCAACTGGCTGCGGTACACTCATCAACCTCAGATTCAACGAGCTAGCCTAATCACTAAAAATTAGAAAATTTTAACATGCTCATTTCAATCAACAATTTAAACAACTCTCTAGTCAAAATTGAAACACAATGTCTGCTTAGTGTCAACTGAGCCAAAAGATACAAAATAACAAAGCACAAAATATAAAACCTATCCTTTTTTAAAAGGTTTCCATCACGAATCACCATAGAACTGCCTAACATTAAAATAGTACCCAGGTACTACCTTAGATGATCCCAATCTTGTTTGCCACATCCAATGCATCGTAATCAGGGGTCAACCTAACATATGCCTTCTTGGTGCCATCAGGCCTGCAACAGAAATCAAATTAAGAAATTGTAGCAGAAATACCTCATATTGAAGTAAACTAAATACATTAACACAGGTACTTTAAATGAGCATCTCAAACCAATTCCAGATAGTTCAGTTCTACATTCTCTAATGGAACATTCAAAGGACTGTCTATTATCTCTGAGCATTATTCCCCACATTATACTAGCCCAAGCATTATCCCCACATTCTGCAAGGGGCATTGTCAACCCTACCCTTAGTCCTCTAAATTATTAACTCGTTAATGGTAAAATTGCACCAAACCAGTACCAATTCACAGGCCAGTAATTAGACAATAAAACAGAGCAGGAACACCCCTTAATGGTTGCTTAAAGGTAGAAAAGAAAGACGCACACTGGAGTACAAACTATCTCCAATGTCATGCATCAAAATAACAGGGCTTTCTAAAGAATCGTCCAATATGAATATGAAAATCACTGCAACAATAGCCTCATCCCACTAGATGAATATGAAATTCACTACCATTCTACAAATTTCATTAGCACTGACGAGTTATCAAACTATTACTACTTTACTGTCAAACTAAATAATCATTGCATAGACTATGGCTCACCTGATCAAGGTGTTAACTTTCTTCGCCTGGATATCGTACATTTTCTTCACTGCATCCTTGATCTTCTTCTTGTCAGCACGCAGGTCAACAATAAAAACCAAAGTGTTGTTGTCCTCAATCTTCTTCATAGCAGATTCAGTGGTGAGAGGGAACTTCAAAATCTGATAATGATCAAGCTTGTTCCTTGGTGGTGCACTGATGCGAGGGTACTTGGGGTTCCTATCCTTCTTCAATGTCTTAGGCCTGTGGAAAGTGACAGAAGTTCGGATCTTCTTTGCCTTCTTCTTAAAGGTAGCACCAGACTTAACTGCCTTAGCAGTTTTCAAGGCCTGTGCCTTTGGATCACCCTTCTTAGAACTATCAACTGCACACAAAAACCCTAACTCAAGTCACACACAATAATAACCAAAACCAACCTAATTTTTCACACAACATAATCTTCCTCCTAATTACATGCTTAATAAAATGAAGGAAAAAAAAAATCAATCACTGAATTCAAATTTTCTTCCACTAACTGTTAAAAGGAAAATTAGAAAAAAAAAAAAAAGACTAAAAAAAAAAGGAAGTGAGGGACACGAAAATACCTTTAGCCGGAGCCATGAGTCGCGGAAGGAGAAGAAACTCTACCTGTCAAATATCCCTAATTCCTGAAATTAAAAAAAAATGAAAATTTGAAACCATTAAAGGCGTGAAATTAAGCTATTCGAGTACGGGGCAGCGTCACAAACCAGCGCTGAGGAACAAACCGGCTCTAGGGTTTTTCTGTTTGGTTTATGGCGTTTATATACGAGATGAAACGAAATGACCAAAATATCCCAAATTAGGCCCTAACCGGCGAGGCCCATTAAGGATATAATTTATGGGCCGTTTTGAAACCCAGCAGGAGGAGTTGACCAGCCCATGTTCAGTCAAGAGTGCAAGTTCAAGTGCCGTTGCTGTCTCCCAAAAATAGTAAATGCTGACGTGGCGGACCAATTCATTTTTCTCGCATGAAACATGAGAAAAGAACACAACGAGGCAACAAGTAACCTCTGAGCACGGAGTCTGAGGCGCGCGGTGTCTAATCCGACGTCGTTTTGGTTGTGTTCTATGTCAGTGCTGTGCTTGCGTTTGGGACATGGCGGAAACAACCTCTGCTTTGGTTTCTTCTCCTTCGGGTGATTCGAATTGGAGAGAGAACAAGTTGTGGAAAGGCACGTTTGCGGTCTCCGGAATCATGCTCACCCTCGTTACCTATGGCGTATTGCAGGTTTACTAGCCAAAGTTTTCGTTTTCTTCGATTTTTCATAGAACCACACGATCTCCTTATCTTGCTTAAAATTAATTGTAAATTTGTAATTACATGGTTGTGCGTGAATGTGTGTAGTAGTGGTTCTAATTGGAAATACATAGCTGTTATATTAGGGTACAAAATCACATTAATGAGCTGGTAAACAATCCTCTTGGTTGAAGTGTTCTCAATTTCTTAGTTTTGAATATCACTTGATGCTTATTTTTTAGCAATTTAAGTAGGGGTGCTTATATATTATCTAAACTAGCATCTACTTTAGGTACACTAAAGCTATTATGGACCTTCTTGTCTTGTGATGTTGGATAGTGTCAAATCCCTATTTGATAATCCTACTATTGTCCTGTTCCTGTTTGAGTTATATTATACAAATGTGTGCGTGTGTTTGTTTTTTTTCAGGAAAAGATCATGAGAGTCCCTTATGGGGTGAACAAGGACTACTTCAAATATTCTCTTTTTCTTGTTTTCTGCAACCGAATCACAACGTCTGCTGTTTCGGCGGGTGCTTTACTGGTAAGTGTGTGGAAAATGTCGTTGTTACCGAACATTTTAGGCTATATTTGGATAAAAGTTGGGAACTGGCTTTTAAAATTTCCAATTTATATTCCTGAATTCCAAGTAAAAAATGTAGAAGGAAAAAATTATTACTTTCGGAGTATAAAATACTTTTGAGGTTTCTGAACTGGTGTCGAAATATGCACTTAGTTTTTGAAATTGCGACCTTTCCTTTCTTATGACTGCATTTGCTCACCTAGAAATTTCCTGAAATTTATCATTTTCATTCTTTCTATAGGCAAGCAAAAAGGCATTGGATCCTGTAGCTCCCATTTATAAGTATTGTCTTGTGTCAGTGTCAAACATACTGACCACAAGTTGTCAGTATGAGGTAAGGTGGAATGCTGCATAGTGATACTCTCTACGTGTCTATGCATTGTTTGTTCACACTATAAGTCGTTATTACCATTGGCTGTCATTTAATACCCATTTTTTTTTGTATCCTATTGCTGATTCCAGGCCCTCAAATATGTTAGTTTTCCTGTTCAGACTCTTGCAAAGTGTGCTAAAATGATACCAGTTATGGTATGTCAAGCTTTAGTACTGTGCCATTATATAAATTTCTTTTATGTTGATATTTATGATTTCTGGCTGATTGATATATTCATTATTGATATATAGTCATATTTATTTGTAGCTTATTTATCATCTTTTCTATTACTGATGCTTCTACTGATGAAGAATAGTAGTAATTACAATTTATTGTTCCTAAACACTGAATGCTTCATGCAAATTCTTTCTCTCGCCTCAGAATCATTTCTCAATGACATCACTAGTAGCAACCTCCTTTTAAGGTGAGGTAACAAGTCCATGAAGAGGGAAAATGTTACTAATAAGTAGAATTTTGTGACTTGACCTCAAACTTCAAATGATTCATTTTTTCTGAAAATTTGGTTGAACAATATTTTTGAGATTGGTCAACCTTGGGCTGGTTCTCTCTCTCTCTCTCTCTCTCTCTCTCTCTATATATATATATATATATATATATATATATATATATAAATAGTAATGTTTTTTCCCATCAAACTATAGTCTTCAGGAGGGTAA